GAGATTTTCATGGTCGTAGCTACCATTGGACAGCCGTAGGCGCTATTTGAAATTTATCAAAATTTACCGGGAGCACCGGTAAATTTTTATATTAAATTTTTCTCGGAAGTAGAAGTGTTTTAGGGGCTAAATTTTATAGTGCTTATAATGCATCCACAGGGGCATCTAAATATATCAAAATTGTAAAGAATCACTATCCACCCAATTTTCAAAATTTCCCAAAACTTTGTATTACATGTATCTTTAAAGGTAAAGACCAGTATTGGAAATGTCCCAATTTCAAAAAATGAAATGGAAGCTCTCATTACCAATCATGTGAAAGAATATGTTTTGACTAATACATGATGATAAAAAAATTGCCGGGAAACCGCCTACTAATTCACATATTTGGTAAATTTGTTTCTCTCATGGTCTGTGAGAGATATAGGGTAGTCCCATATACATATTTCTGTGTATAGTGCTTGTAACTTTACAAAGAATGGGCCAAATTTCTCATCATTTTGATGATTCCAGAACCTTGCAGATGCTAGATGCTAGATGATCAACCTTTTCTGATCGATTCCACAACGTTTCTTTCACAATGCAATCGCATGACCATAACTGGTCTTTATCTTTAAGAACGTGTGTATTCGATTTGAATTAATGACTCGTCTTTGTTACAAGAATGAAAAAGCAAGACATTTTTTATTATTATTAAAGTTTATTTGTTGTAATTTTGCTAATAATGTTTTGCAGACTGCTTTGAAGGAGGAGCTCTCCTCTACTCCGTATAATTTCATAAAGTAATCTTAATGTTATTCAATTTGGTGGACTCTACCTTGATCTAAATTGTCTTATACCTGGATTTTGGTTTTTATATGAAAAATTAACAACCAATTATACAATTTTTTACTTTTTTTAGACTGAAAGTAGGGACAAGTATTAAAAGATAAAGTTACAAATTGATGTTCTATAATTTATCTGATAACTGTAAAAAAAAATAGCGGTATACTCATCCAATCATGGTTAGTACATGACCCCTCCTATTCCTTACTATCTTCTTCTTCCTCCTCCTCCCATCTCATCAACACTATCATCATCATCATCCTACTCCTCTTTATTACAATCATCACTAGCATCATCGTAATCATCATCATCATCATCACCACCACCAACATTTTACATCATCCTCGCCATTGTCATTAATACCATCGTCATCATCACTGTCGGTCATCATCATCATCATCATCGCAATCATTATAACAATCGTCGTCGTCGTCGTCATCATCATCACTATTACCACCAACATTAACATCATCATAATCTCTACCATCATTATCAACACCATAATCATCATCACAATCATTATCACCATCATCATCATCATCATTATCAACACCATTATCATCATTACTACCAACATCACCATTATCATTATCAAGATCATCACCATCATCATCATCATCACCATTATCACCACCACCACCACCATCATCAACACCATTATCATCATCATCATCACCATCATCATCACCATCACCATTATCATCATCATCACCATCACCACCACCACCACCATCACCATCATCAACACCATTATCATCATCATCATCATCATCACTATCATCATCATCATCATCACCATCACCACCATCATCATCATCATCACCATCACCATCATCAACACCATTATCACCATCACCACCACCATCACCATTATCATCATCATCATCACCATCACCACCACCACCACCACCACCACCATCAACACCATTATCATCATCATCATCACCATCATCATCACCATCACCATTATCATCATCATCACCATCACCACCACCACCACCATCACCATCATCAACACCATTATCATCATCATCATCATCATCACTATCATCATCATCATCATCACCATCACCACCATCATCATCATCATCACCATCACCATCATCAACACCATTATCACCATCACCACCACCATCACCATTATCATCATCATCATCACCATCACCACCACCACCACCACCACCACCATCACCATCAACACCATTATCATCATCATCATCATCATCATCATCATCACCATCACCATTATCATCATCATCACCATCACCACCACCACCACCACCACCACCACCATCACCATCATCAACACCATTATCATCATCATCATCATCATCACTATCATCATCATCATCATCACCATCACCACCATCATCATCACCATCACCATCATCAACACCATTATCACCATCACCACCACCATCACCATCACCATTATCACCATCATCATCACCATCACCACCACCACCACCACCACCACCATCACCATCATCAACACCATTATCATCATCACCACCAACATCACCATTATCATCATCACAATCATTATCACCATCATCACCGCCATCATCATCATCATCAATATCATCACCACCATCAATCGGTGTGAAGTTGTTCTCGAGCCAATCAACTCTATCTATAGTATACCGACTGCAGTCTTTGCATGCAATATGGTGATGCCGCCCTCTACTGCCAAAAGACAGCATAGTGTTTCCTGAAGATCGACAATAAAAACATCGGTACCCATTTTTCTGTTCATAAAGATCGAGTCCAAAATGTTTCTACTATGTATTAGAAAACCTCTATAACTTCAATATTTGTGGCTTATTTTATCAAGTTAATTCCAAGAATCCTATATGTAAAACATACAAGAAGGCAATCTATTTTGTTTTTGTCTGTAAATGTGTCATGATTGTGTGTGCCAACTAGGTTTGGTGAATAATAAATTCAGATTTTGAAGTGAATTAAATCAATGTCATCAATACTTGAACTATACATATTACATATTTACAGTTAACATCGGAATTATTCATACCCTTTCTAAGTTTTGTAATTTTTCAAGTACATGTACAAGAATATATGATTTCTCTATTTATGTTTCTTCTGTGACATATTAAAGCGTATCTGCCATAGTTTACAGGAGGGATTAGACTGCCCTGCAAGGTCACTGGACAGGTGGTTATCTAATCTACTCAGCTCTCAGTTAACATAAGAAAAAGAGGATCATGGGGGACCAATGGTCACCGATTAGGCATGGTTTGTTATATAGAGGGCGCAAGTAGCTACAAGTAGTGCAGTGTGCCTTTAAAGCCTCCGTCTAAAGGTATTCAACAAAGGCCCTAATTCAACCAGTCAATCTTTCATTCATTCATTCACCAAATTCAAAAGGGTTATGAATAATTCTGTTGTTCACAACTTCAAATACACAACCCCATTGTCAAAAGGTAAAACACAAAACAGGAACACACAAAGTAGTAATATAAAAGATGACTTTTAATTTTTCTAAGCAATCTGACATGATAATTTCTAGATATCTCAGACTCGTTATACTTGCTGTCAAGAGAATACCTTCAACATTCCACAGACAAGGGCTGGAATTCACGAAGGACATTTATCTAAAACCATGGTATAGACATACAGGTAGTACGTACATGTCCTTGTGTTCAGCGAGCTGGAAACACTTGCTCTTAAAAGAACATCTTTTCAACATGAACAAATCTTTGTTCATCATTTTGGTAAAACATTGCAAAATCAAATTTTCACGTCCGTTTGGCATTATTTTCTTTTGCAAAACAGGCGATCTAAAATTCACTACCCTTTTTACACATTATCAAAGCTCACCTTTGCATTATTTCAGCTAAATAATGGTAAAAAACCCCTCTCACTTGGCACATAAAAAATAGTGTAAAAAGATTTGTTCATTTTGAAAAGATACACTGTACCGAGACACCTCTATTATAGTCCAGGGTTTTCCTTCATGAATTTCTGCCATACTTTATGAACAAGAATAGCGGAGCAAAAGAAAGACATACAATGACAAAACCACTTTGCGTATGACGATTAAAAGTGTGTCGTATTTGACACCGCCTCCAAACGCATCTTAAATGCCCATATTTTCAGGATATTTAGAAACTGCATACTCTCTGTACAGAGAAGAGTACTGACATGAATTAGAATAAGAATTAAAATATATTACATACAGCGTACTTAAGGAGTGAAAGAATGGAGAAAAAAAAGCCAACTTTGGCTATCCCTGCACTAGCCAAATGTAAATTAAAATCAAGATGAAAAAAATATATTTCATAAATGAGAAATATTAAAAACCAATTGATTATGTTGCAAGATAACTTGAAGCTGGCACAGATGAATCAACTTCATGTTAAATTTCTTCTTGTTTTTAATTTAGAATAAGATCTTTTTTGGGGGTTAAATTAAAGAAATAACTTGGAATTATGCATTGAATTCTTTATGTTCAAGCATTCCGAACCCCTCGGACTATCAAAACCACAATAGTCATATATTACACATATTTACAGCAAAACTTAGAGAAAAAAAATTATTTAAAAAGTTGTCCTCATGATCTCCCATCAAACTCTTAACTATTCGTGACTATTTGGCATCATGTACAGAACTCACATCCGAACTAAAAATACAAAATCAGTGAGTCTAAGAAAACTCGTTAAAAACAATCATGATTTTCACCCATGATCTATAAAGAGCGTGTGTTCTACTTAGATAATGAAAATAAGCAAATCATTTGGTAAATGTAGATTTCACAAATTAAATGACAAAGACTCATGATTTGAATGAAATGTTGACCGGGGGTCCAAGTAAGAGGTCCAAGGCCATCATTTTAGACACATAAAACGCTATCTACCTTTCAGATAATTCAGATAACTATTTTAAAATAAAAAGTTTAAAAACTAAAATAAAATCATAAAACTTGAAGAAAAAAAACCCCTCAGAATATAATGCCTTACACTATTGAAACTGATCATGGAATTAAACTGCTTAAACAACGTATATAGAGGCCGACCCAGAAAAGCGCCAAGAGTGACGATTATAGACACGACGATTATAGACACCAATGAACTCACTGAGCAGGCTCTTGCTTAGAGGACATTTCATGAGTTTTTCAATGAAATAATGATGAAACCAGTATAAGGAACACAGGTGAAAAGCAATAATTACATTGTAAAAATTAAAAGTTTGCAGACTGCATTTTGAAAGGGGGGATCTGCAGCATCTTATAATTATATTATAATCATTAAAAACATGGACAGCTTAAGTGGTACTTTACAATAGACGGACAATATAGTTGAATAAGGAGTTCATAGTGCTGTGCTCAACAGTTTCTTGCATTTCACACTCCATCCAGATCAAAATCAAACATTGTCCTATTAGTTCCATAATAGGACGTAACAAGATCATGAATAACTGTTTTTACAGCGTCCACCAACCCTACGACCTGATGCATCGAGAGCATGCGCTGAGTAAAGTCTATAAAGTTTATAAACTTGCAGGCCAAGGAGGTTGTCCAATTTTGCAGAAGTGGGTCTTAAGTTGTTTATTCATGGTAAGCTGGAGCTTTCAGTGTGTTGGGGTTGGTAGGAATGACCTGCTACCGGTTTGGCCGTCAAAGTCTTTCGTTAATAAAAATTCTTCCTCACGATCCCTTCACTTCTTCTTGGGTGGTGCTCTGTAAAACAGATCAAGACAAGGAAAAGAAACAATTAGACAATTCAAAACATAATTCATATTTCATGATATTTTTTTATGATTACTGCAACTTTATACATGAAAAATCTCAAAATGTTTTCATTACTTTTTCTGTAACAAAATGTCAGGACTAGTTTCTGTTCCTGCTTTAAACGTAAGTACTTAATCAGAGCTGCCAACCTTGTGCGACCAAAAAAAGGAATTCATAAAAACGAAACTTACAGCCACGCGCGACACACTTCCAATGCAGAAATGTTCCTTCATCATGCCGTTTTTACCATGCAAGCAGGTAAATTTTTTGGTGGTTATTTTGGTATTATCAGCATTTCATTCTTTTTTGAGAATATTTTTCTCTTCAAGTATGTTTTAAAATTAGTTTGCTATTGAATTTGTGATCAAATCACCATTTTAGGGCAGTTGTTTGACGTGCGGTATGTAAAAAAAATAAAAAAAATAAACAATTAAAAATTTAAAAAAAAAAAAATTATGAAGAAAAACCGTAATACCGTAGTTTGGAGTAGTTTGGAGGAAAAAACAGAGTAATTCCGGCAAAAACAGTATGGTAGGCAGCTCTGCTTAATGCTTCCACATCAATTCTCCTTCTCAAGATAAAATGGTAGGATTTAGTGAAAGATTTTATTTTTAGTTGTAGATTCTACATTTCTCAATGTCGAAAGTGCTGTATAAGAAATGGTTATTATTCCTTTCTAACTATGATATAGAATTATCAGAGCATTTTCAGGCACATCATACACCAAAGATGACCTTTCTGTGACCCTGTCAAATTCTAAGCCATGAAGTAGTCATCAAATACCTGTATACTCCTACTACGACGGCGTGATCTCTTTCATAGGGTTCAAGGGTCAACTGTTCCTGTGGTTTGAGCTTCTCTGCTATGAGTTTCTTCACCTCGCCCGCAAACACCGCCTCGGGTTGGGCCGTAGAGTCGATGCAGTTTGCCTGATGGATGGACAAACGTAAGAAACAAAGATTTTACTTTATGACCAGTGAGAAGAAAAAGGGTAAGTAATTTGGCTCACGAAAGCATCATTAGAGGTCTGGAAATCATCTGAACGAGAGGTACATAAACAAAATTTACATAAAAATTCCTGCACGAGTATCGAAAAAGAGTTCCCATGAACAAAAATGGATTTTCACACTGTTCCTAGATATATGCATAGGTTCTTTTGGATATCTTAACACACACCAGGGGGGCTAGTGAAATCCTTGCTTCAGATTGGCCAATGATTTTTTTGTCATTTGTCATTGAAAAAAGGCTTTGTGAAACGGGTACCAATACAGAATCATCCATTTTACAGATCCTGGAAAAATAGAGAAAATCAGGGAAAAATCAGGATAAAATCAGGAAGAAAAAAATAAATAAACAAAAATCAGGTAATTATCAAGCCTGAAACATGTACTGAAGGAACCTGCACATAAAGACCATTTTTCTTGTTTCCCTTGGGTGGTCTTTATATACAGGTTTCTAAAGGGAAAATACAAGGTGCGTTTGCCTCATTACAAATCTTTCTTCCCCAGGACACTCACCTTAATTGAGATGACAAAGTGGCCTTCGTTCTTGAGGAAGTTGTGGGCGTTGATAGCGACGATCCTGGCTTGGTCTGGCTGGGCTACATCAGCAAACACACAGTCGACCATACCTATCAAACAGAACATGCAGACACACTTCAAATGTCAGACTTAGTTAGTATTATTCCTTTCTTACAACCAAAACTTGAGGTTGGATTTCAAATACATATAAAAATACAAACAGATATATAACGGTGGTAGAAATAATTTACACAGAGTCAAAGAAACTGTCAAGTCTGATACATAAATATGTGGATAACAATGTGCTAAATTTTTTTGTTACACATTATAAAATGAATTAAAGTAAGCTCATGTGTACAATATTTCATAATGATTGTATATAACATCAGAATTAATTAGGGAAGGTGCGTCTATAAATTGAGCAGTTTATAATGAAATTGGTGATAATAATGAATGTGACATGATAATGATGGCGACCCGACATGAGCTCTCGTGAAATTTACACTACTTGATGCGCTTCTAGCATTCAGAAGATATGCCGTCAATCTTTGCGAAATTATTCACGCTGGTTATTTAAGATCGTGCTATCATTAACTTCACAAATTCTGTCTTGTGATTTTAATACGATGCCTCATAATACACTCAAACCTGCTTTAGTGACAACCCGTCTACAAAGACGACCCACATTTGTTGTTTCCCTTGAAAATGGTTTCTCATTGAAAGATGTACTGAAGGAACCTGTCTACAAAGACCACTTTTTGTGTTTCCCTTGGGTGGTCGCTATAGACAGGTTTGACTGAAGTTGAAACCTAAAAGAAAAAGCCCCCCCCCCCCCTCCCTCAACCACGCCCCCTTTGACTAAAGAAAAAGAAGAGGATTCGGGGGAAGAAAAAAAATGGTATCTAACAACATTCCCTCCCTTTTAAGTAAGAAAATTGGGGAAAATAGAGAAAATGAGGGAAAAATCTGGAAAGTCAGGATAAAATCAGGGGAAAAAAAATAGGAAAAAAAATGGGAAAAAAATCAGGAAGCAGGCCTACCGTAAACCTTTACAAGTCAAGAAAACTCCCAAAACTTGTCAAACGTCCATGCTATCTATTCATCTTCTACTCCCATGCGTGATGCAACTTACCGACCAGCATTCTGTACTTATGTGGATGTCTGGCGTCCTCGATGATGGGAATGATATTTGTTCGTTTCTTTGCTACGTTCATGAGATCACGGCCTGATCTGTGTGAGAACTCCACAGCGTACACCAGTCCTTCCTGTAATGACGAATATAGGAGAAACAAAAAAACATTAGGAATCGGTGTAATACATCAAATGTAAACATTGGTAGCAATGATTTGACTAATTCATGATCCAAACAGATTTTCAAATTTTAAAGGTTTTTCTGATTTACGGTTATGCTCACGGCGTTTCAGAGTTTTCTAAAGGGTTTAAATTAATCGTTAATTTCATTTAATTATTTTAATTTCTACTTGTTCATAATTAAGAAAAAAAAATTTGTCTATTTAATGAACCATTGTGAATTGATTAAATAACATAAAATCAACAAGAAATTGCCAATAGTTATTAACAACCTTGGTTCTGCTTTTCCAATTCTGAGACTAATATGATTATTTTTGATAAAATTGCTTGTATTCATGAACAATGTACTGTGACAGAAATGGACTTTATTTTGCAGCGATTTTTCCAATTTCTACTCAGGTACAAATGCAATTCAAAGCATCCTGGATCAAAAAAAGAAGAAAAATTATCACTGTATGAGGAAACTAAATTGCTAGTCGAGGTTTCATGAGACTTCCAAATTTAGGAGTATACAATCTATTTGATATACTTCTTACAAAGTAGTTTACAGAAAAAGAGAGAAATCTAGGGTATCATAGCATTAATTTAAAGGCTAAAAAAATGGGAATAATTCTTCCAAACTAGGTCTGGATGGCAGCTGTGGACTTACCGGTCCAACCAGGTCCGAGACGTGAGACACCGTTGTTCCTGACGCAGCACCCAGGTACAGCACCTTGCTGCCGGGCTTCATGTGAATGTGATCGACGCCTCCCAAGATGGCCGCCGCTAGCTTCGACCTGAAGGGGTTCCAGGCTCGGTACTCTAACTTCTTCTCGCCCTCCTGTAAATGGTAAAAACATGAGAAAGAAATGAAAACCTGCCTCACCCAAACACCTGGGCAGAGATGCCAACCTCTTGACAAAAAAAAACAGACTGAGTATCCTAAAAAAAAAAAATCAGATTTTCTCGAAAACTCAACACTACTAATGGCCGGTTGGGCCCGGGCCAGTAAAATTTCAGAAAAATGTGATACTGGTACGTATGGTCAAGTAAAATGTTTGCTCTTTCATTAACATTTTTAAGGAAAATGGAAAACAAACTTTTGTTGGGGTTGCGGGGGTTTACTTGTACATGTTTCTATGCGATTCCGTGGTTTTTACGGATATTAAAAAAAAAAAAAAAAAAAAAAAAAAAAAAAAAAAAAATTGTTTGTTGAAAAATCGTATTTTAAGAGATGAGAACGTATTATCGTATTCCACTCTTATTATCGTACTACATACGATTAAATCGTACTGGTTGGCATCTCTGCCTGGGCTCTGTTTCATCAAACTTGTTTATAAATGACAAGTTACAATTATTATTATAAGCTACTGATGACCACATTGTGTGGCTACTAGGCAGGGTCTCTTCATACAGTTGAACCTGCTTTAGGACCACCTGTCTATGAAGACCACTTTTGGTGTTTCACTTGGGCGGGAGCTATAGACAGGTTTGACTGTACAATCTGCACTGTATAATAACTAGTCATCACTTCCAATAAGATCTTTTGAGAGAGCCACCTGACATGAACCATGCAAAGATTCATTTGACAAACTTTTCTTCTTCAAATAGTAATTTCTTTTTTTTTTTTTTTTTTGGGGGGGGGGGGGGAGGGTATTTTGTACATTGTTTTAATGAAACATTGTTATATATATCTCAAAATAGTAATATTTCCGGAATTCTAATTTCCTCATATGCATTATCTTATTGAACCATATATATCATATCTGTACAACTATATGTTTTATGTTTATATGTTATGCCCTACTTTGGCATGTGTCTGTTCAATTATGATCTATTTGTACCATTTCTCTATTTTTTTGTGTGAAAACGAATGCGTATGAAGCAAAAACTATGTCAATGGGTTACAAAGTTGATAGGGCTCATGGGTAGAAATACTGGCACAAAGCTATGTGACAACACACACACACAGAATCATTACCTCAATGCTTATTCTCTTCTCTCCATAGACTGATTCCCCAGGCACCAAGTTCTTGGTGACCAGTGCATCCTCCTTGCCTCTGGCAATGAACACACCTGTAAACGCAAAGAAGAGACTGGCAATGAAGACCAAGACCCCACCAGCGGAACAATGAGCTCTACAAAGCTATCTGAACTTTGACCTACTTAGCCATAAAATGTAAACAAGTAATAGATAACCAAGTCCGATAATCCTGCTGGATAATCGCCTTTTAATCCATTTAAAGGACACAGCTTAAGAGACTTATTTAATACATAAGCTTAAACTACATGTCCTATATTGTGAAAAAAAGCTATAAAAAAGAAGGATAAAACACGGTTGTAATTCAATCCATAGTGAGATTTTTGGGTGGGCAATTAAAAAATGTCTTTCAACGGAGGAAGAGTGATATAAAAGAAAAAAAATCTCTTAACTCTAGAACGTTTCAGAAGCACTTTATTCTACATGACTCACCAACCAAAAGACACAAGCATCTCCATGACGATACACATTTGTTTATCTCGGACGTTATGGCTCAGACAGTAACAATTTTCTCAACAACTTGACTTCAGTTCAAAGTGAAGAATTTGTTTTGATCATCATCGCCAATAACAAGGTCCCTTATTATCTTCAATTCTAATTCTTATAACCGTTCTCATTTTAATCGCTACACTGTCTCCAGTGAATAACAATTTTAAAGGGACCCTACACTGGGTCGAAGAGGAAGCTAACCCCCCAGCTGAAATCAAGAGAAAACATGACACGATCAGTATGAACATGTATATCAAAATGCTCTTTATAAATAAATAAATTTTGATTTCATTATTATAAGGGACTGAGTTGTAAAGGTTCCTGGCCCAGTCCCCGGGAGTTCCCAAAAGTAACGCTGATACCCCCAGGTGTAAATATTTGATTTCCGGTATTTCAAAATAAAACTTCACACTGATATTTTGCAATAGAGATATTAAAATAGAGAATTCACAAACTTAATTTCAATTTAATTAAATTTATTTGCTGTAATAATAATTCTAGGAGTACCAAAATGCAAATATTATCTGAGCAATACTGGAGCACCTTGAGCACTTTTTGTGGTGGGCATGAGAAATCTGAAAACATCCACTATTTAACCAAAAAATATCTCAACGCATACCTTCAAGTCTGTGAGGCTCAATAGCAACCTTGAAGCCACCTCTCATGCCACCTCGACCTCCTGAAAGAAAAAGAAGAAAAGATTAAAAACACCACATTCTGGAATACTGCTTTTGATCATCTTCAATGATAACATTTCGCTAAGATCCTACAGGCAATTAACAACAAATACTGGTTGAGACAGACCAAGTTTACAAAATGATATAGATCTGGACAATGCAATGTGGATTGGAAAACATGACAATCTATATTACGAACGGGCGAGGTTTGAACCACATTAATCGCTCTTGGGTATCTTTTTGATAAGAGAGGGATCTTTATCTCAAATATGTATAGTTCTTTATCTTTTGTTTATATTGTGTTATATTTTTTTCCCCTTCTTTTTAAAACATTTAATATTAATGTTGTTTTTTTGTTGTAATTTTTGCTTCACATTATGCTATGATTGCTTGGGCAAGGCATAAGAGCTTTAATAATGTAGTTCCCAATTTCATTTTCTAAATTTGTTTATGAAATATTTTGTATCTTTTGTATCAATGTAATTTTTAATCGATAATTAAAAAAAAAAATTGAATTGAATTGAATTAAAGGCAAAGGTGCCTTGACTCTCATTCAGGTTACACTAAGTAGACCTACCTCTTCCTCCCCTGCCTCTGGGTCCACCCCGACCTCGTCCACCAAAACCTGAAGAAAAAAAAACACAAAGCAGAGAGATGGGAGATAAGAAATACATCAATAACAACATAGAGGTGGTGACTATTTCCTTATCCCCTCCTTGCTTGGGAATAGCCCTTGAAAGATCTGGGCTTTTGCTAGTTCTTCCACATATACTCAATTATATTTTAAGTATGTATTGTTCTTTTTTGTATGTTCTTTGTGACCACTGTAAAATTTCACAATCATAAATGAATATTCAAAATAACTTCTACAAAGTGTTTCACAAGATCTTGTCTTTATTTTTCACGAGGATGATTTAGACTAAAATGTATGGTGTGAAGTAATGGTGATGATCATAATGAAAAGGATGACACATTTAACTATGATTTTGTAAAAACCCACAAATCACGATGAAGATGAATATTACCATGGGGAAAGGCACTGAAACATAAAGCTGGCTCAGTAAAACAATATTCTCAACAAGATACTTCTGTTCAAAGTGAAGAAATTGTTAAGTTCATCACTGCCAGATGAAAATGAATATAATTCCCCCAACACTTTTTACTCATACATGCAGGACATGTTCTCATTGGCTTCATCTGCAATTTTGAAACATCCAAACTCTATTATCATATTATAAACTTTTTTTCCAATCCTGAGCATGCACTATCGATTGCCCAGCAGTCATGTCAAGTGACAGATTCAAAATTAGTTTAGTCCTAACTTCATATAACGTTTCTTTACAAGTTTTTAATTTGTAGTAGTCTGTCCCCTTCTTTTACTATACTGATTCTTTATATGACATACCAGTTTCATATAAACAAATCAAATAGAATATGGGCATTAAAGCAGGTTTTAAAATGTTTACCTCCTCCTCTACCTCCTCCTCCTCGTCCTCCACCAAAGCCTCCTCCTCTGCTTCCAAAGCCCCCTCTACCGCCACGCCCTCCCCGGTCTCCGCCCCCTCTGAAGCCCCCTCTGCTTCCTGGTGAGAATCCTGTCACGAGAGAGAAAGATATCAACATCATTTATTATTCATTGAAATAATAAAAATATTTCTAAAGATGATAAAGATATTTCTATACTGCAAATTGCGTATTGCCTCTAGGCGGTTTAGAAGGGAAATAGTTGATACGGTAAGTCAAAGGAACAGAATTTGCATTTTTACATCAATTCAATTAACATTAAAATTACAAATCTCTTACAACCAAAATATAAATAGTTCATGAAGTAATAGTAATCCTACGTTAATCTACAAAAAAATATAAAAGGCAAAGGGAAACTGAAACAATGGAACCCTCTGGTCTCTCCTCCTGGTATAACTGATTGGGGGCATGCAGGTGGATCGCTACACCAGTTTCTCCTTACACCGATACAAATAATGCAGTTGGTTTACTTTCTAACAAGTAAAGGTGTTAACTCTCCTCTACACGGGGCCTCCATTTAATGTCCGATCCGAGGGACAGAGTGTTTTTCACTGTAACATAGCCTGCGTGTATGATACAGGGGAGGGGCAGGCATTTTTTGAATTTGAACTTGTATTGTCCATTTCCCAAGCTGTGGGGAAGGACATTTCATTTCCCGGCCATTGTGAAAATTGTAAAAATGCTGCATACGCACTATCTTGCCCAAGAGACTGGAAGAATGTGATTTGATTCTATTGGCTGAACATGAAGAGAGTAAATCCAACGAATTCAGCGAAAAACAGATTCTGCAATGATTTTCTTCATGCATTTCACTTGAGTTTCACGTTGTGAGCAATAAATCCTCTGGAAGACGGACTACCGGGCAATTCCACGGTAACGGAAGGACACTCAGACAAGATTTTTGAACTTCAGGTTCATACTAAAAGAACTGTTTTATTAGTATAAGATGTGAAACAGTACAGATATAATACCTATATAAGTGCCTTTAATTCTCCCCAAAAAAATTGTCATTATAGTTAAGTAGTTTAAGAATGTGCATATTAATTATCTCGGTAACGGAAGGACATAAAAATGGACATGGTTTTTCCAGTTAATTAGTGTTTATCCAAACTTTGTGAAGTTGATGAAGCTTTCCACTTGACTGAAACACATTTTGTTCCCCATAGTTTAATACATACTAATAAAACATTTCTTTTAGTATGAACCTGAAGTTCAAAAATCTTGTCTGAGTGTCCTTCCGTTACCGTGGAATTGCCCTACCCATAAAAGCAGACGGCCGACTGGAGGTATTTCATGACGCAGAATCTTTTTTCGCATTGCCAGCGCGCGCCAATCAGGAACCTGAAACCAGCAGAGGGCCGAAGAAAAAATACATCCTTATTTTTTAGGATGCATTTTGTACGCGTTTATGCAATTATCCTCGTTTAAGCGGACGATCATCACTGTCGAACCAGCGCCCCTCCTGATAAAAAGCAAAAATTGCATTCGTCCCTTCCTCTGTCTCTCTCTCTCTCTCTCACTTCATTTCTATTTCCTTTTCAAGGCAAGGGTTTTACTTTCAAAATCTTTAATATCTGCATTAGATAAATCTATAGTGAAGGTGAAACTAGAAGACGATTTGAAATCAGCAGATGTCATCGAGCACATGTTTTTGTGAATTTAAATTTCTTTCGTTTCTCGACACGTTTTACTCTGATTTCTGCTCATAACCAAAATAAATTATACATAACTGGTAATAAAGGAAATCACTGAAAGTCATAGTCATTCATATCCAAACAACAATTATTAAAAAAAACAAAAAACATTTACATCACTCGTCGGTCACGACACATTCAGATCTCGTCACAAACACCGATTTCAATATGTGGGACTGAAGCCAAATTCCATGCAGAGCATGGTCGACAAAACACGAAAGCAAAGCCAAAGTAAAAGCTGACTTCAATCAACGGACACAAAGACACTTAATTTTAAGCATTCAAAACGATTATTATGTTTAACTTAATTAGTATTATTGTATAATTCTGAATGTTTGTTACCTGGTCTGCCCATATTTGTCGTGTTTCTGGCACTAATTTGGAACTACTCTGACTACTATCCGCAGCACGTGCTCAAGCAATGTTGTCGATGACACGCGTTGTAGTTAGATGTGATATCGATAGAGGGAGGCAAACAAACACTGTTTTCTGCCTGTGCTACATGATACGTGTGCTACATGTATTTAGATATTCAATCTAATAATTTCAGAATCATTAAATTGTGTTATCATGTTTGTATATCGAATGATAAAAACTGTTTATATATTCAGTTTTTGTAAGTTTGGACAATAGACAAAAATGCTATGCTATGGGATAAAAAGAATTGGAGTTTTGAATAATTACCCCAAAATTGCTTTTCTGCTAGGCCAAGGGAATTGAAGAGACCAACAATCAAATGGATCTTCAATGCCGGGATCTCGTTGTTTGTGCCCCCCCCCCTCCCCCCAAAATATTCTCAGTATTGTGGTATAGACAAAAAATAAAGAGCATAATAGCAGCCAAGCATCATGCTTTTGCAGCATACACTGTCGCTCATAAAGGTGAAATATTTAAGTTTTATCAAAATTTATGGAATTATTTTAATTTTTTTTTTAAATAATAGATCTAAATAATACATGTAGTATACATGTACTGACCACATTTTTTTTTTGGTACTCGAACATTTAAAAATTTGCACCCCCCCCCCCCCTTGAGCGCCAGGGGGGGGGGGGCCCAACCCCCCAAAAAGGTAAAAATCACGTGTTTTTGCATGTTTTTTTCCTCAAGGGGGGGGGGGGCGGGGCCCCCGCGCCCTCACCCCTGGATCCGCCACTGCCCTAGTTGATAATCATAGTAGTCACGCAAAACGCACATTGGCAAATTATTATTCAATAAAATCTGAGAATGTATACTATTATCTAGATCTATTATTTTTAAATTATTTTTTGAATAATTCCATAAATTGGGATAAAAAAAAATATTCCACCTTTATGAGCGACAGTGTATGTACTAGAAAGCCAAGTACATGTTATATTATACATGTGGCAATTTATTCTTTTAAGACTTTCAACAAACTTTAATTTTTTTGGCTCAAAGGGGGGGGGGGGGGGGGAGTGGATGTCGAGAAAAGAAAAAAAAAAGGAGTGTTTACTTCCCAACCCCTCCCCCCCCCCCGTTCAGCTAAAAAAAAAAAAATGTTTAAACCCCTCCCCCCTCCCCCGGCTTATTCGCCGGCTTATTTTGTTACCCGACTGTAAATTTGGGAATGTTCAATTTTCCACAAACGCTTAAAAAGGTATAATTGCCCCCCCCCCAACAAATTTCAGCAACATTTGTAAACCACTGGTATCGAATTAAAAATAAACCAATTTTGAATTGTATTGGGTGGGGGGGGGGGAGCAACTGCCCCAAGCCCTCCCATCAGTACGCCAGTGTTTAGGGGCTCAAGTCTTCTCACCCGTATAATAAAAAAAAAAACACGTTTTCCCATCATCTCACAATATTTCCACGATATGCGCGTATCGCTATTATCAAAATGCTCCATTGATAAATATTGGGGCATGTGGAATGTTAAGAAAATTAAATTCCTATTTGCTTTCTTTTTCTTTCAATGAAATATAATTTTTATTTCAAGTTTTATTATTTTTATTATTATTTTTTTTTTACGGGGAGGGGGGGGGGGATGATGCGTTTACCCCCGCCCTTTTTCGTTGGGGGGGGGGGGGGCGCTCCCTTGCCACCCACTTCGGCGCCTATATGCACATACATAGTTTTTTTTTACTTCTTGAAACTTCCCTTGTCCAATTCATTTTTGCTTCTCACCTCCTCCTCCAATCGTGTTCTTCTTCGTCTTCTTCTTCTTTTCGATCACCTTCTTCTTCTTCTCAAGTCACTAAATATAAGCGGCCTGCATAGCTGTGCAGGCCAGGGGCGGATCCACGTAGCGATTATTCCGGCCCGGCCCCCCTAGCCCCCCCCCCCCAAACGATAAAAAAAAATTAGGATAAAAACGTAAAGTTAACCTTTATAAAACAAAAAACAAAAGCGCCCCCCCACCGCTTATTCGCCGGCCGGGTGAGTCGGCACTAAATTTTGTATTAAGATTTGGCTACAACCCCCCCCCCCCCCTTGACGCCGTCTGGATCCTCTGCAGGCGCGGATCCACGAGGGGGGGGGGGGGGGGCTGACGGGTCAACAACAAATAAGAATTTAAAAAAAATTCTCACGAATTAGGTGAAAAAAAACAAAACTTGGGGGAAATCAAATTCAAATGTGTGTTATTTCTAATTCCATAATTGTGGATTACAAATAGGGCTGAAATTACATAATTTCCGAGATTTTTCCTCACTTTTTAGTAAATTATACTTTTTTATGCGTTTGTTGGAAAATGACAAATTCCTAAATTTACAGCCAGGCAAGAAATATGATTTTTGAGATTCCTACATGTCAGGGCCCGAGGAACGGCGGGAATCGGGAGCCTCGAGCCCCCCCCCACACTTTAACAAAAAAGTATATTAAAGAGAAATAACAAAAGAAATGGAGCAAGAAAGAAAGAATAGTTCACTGCCAGTGTCAACAGAGGCATCAAAATATGATCATCTGACCGTGATTAAATGCCTAAATCCCGTAAGTTTCCGGGGGCTCTGCCCCCTGGATTCCACTTAGGGCCCTAATGTGGGCCACTTCCATGCTCATCTGACGGTCATTTAATGCCTAAAACCCCTGATTTTTTTGGGGGGAGGCTCCGCCCCCTGGACCCCACGCCAAATAGTGTCCTGCCAGTGTCACAAAATAATAAGGATTATAAAAAAATGCTCATCTGACCGTAAATAAACGCCTAAAACCCCCGAGCTTCCGGGGGCTCTGCCCCCTGGATTCCACCTTGGGCCCTAAGGCGGGCCCTTAGATGCTCAGCTGACGGTAATTTAGTGCCTAAAAACCTGATTTTGGGGGGCTTCGCCCTCTTGACCCCACGCCTAAGTGTCCTACCAGTGTGAAAAAATAATAAGGATTATAAAAAAATGCTCATCTGACCGTAATTACACGCCTAAAACCCCTGAGCTTCCGGGGGCTCTGCCCCCTGGATTCCACCTTGGGCCCTAAGGCGGGCCCTTAGATGCTTAGCTGACGGTAATTTCATGCCTAAAACCCCTGATTTTGGGGGCTTCGCCCCTTTGATCCCACGCCTAAGTGTCCTGCCAGTGTGACAAATTAATAAGGATTATAAAAAAAAATGCTTATCTGACCGTAATTTATTGCCTTAAACGTCTGAGCTTCCGGGGTCGGACAAGGTATCAAAATGTGTTAATTTGACCACAGGCGCGTAGCCAGGGGGGCAGTAGGGGCGGCCCCGAAATAATCACCGCCCCCCCCCCTCTAAAAAGAAGAGGAGAGAAAAACGAAGAGGAAGTAGAAAGAAAAAGAAGCAGACAAAGAACATCTTTAAAATTCAGACAAAGATTAAGAAAAGAGAACGGTACAACGTATCGCCTTCTTTCTCTAATAATTTAATGAAACGTATAAGCTTCCGCGCTATGCGCGGGAGGGGGAGGGGGGGGGGGGAAACTGAATTCAGACGAGGATTATTTTCGAGAACGGTACAACGAATCGTCTTCTTTCTCTAATAATTTAATGAATCGTAAAAGCTTCCGCGCTTAGCGCGGGCGGGGGAAACCTGAATTCTTGGATTATGAAGAGTCGAGAACTGTACAATGAATTGTCTCGTTTCTCTAATTATTTGATGAAACGTAGAAGCTTCCGCGCTTTGCGCGGAAGGGGGAATCTGAATCCAGACGAGGATTAAAAGTCGAGAACTGTACAACGAATCGTCTTCTTTCTCTAATAATTTAATGAAATGTAAAAGCTTCCGCGGTTCGCGCGGGAGGGGGAAAACTGAACTCAGACGAGGATTAAGAGTCGAGAACGGTACAACGAATCGTCTTGTTTCTCTAATGATTTAAAGAAACGTAAAAGCTTCTGCGCTTCGCGCTGGATGGGGGGGGGGGGGGGTGAAGTGAATTCAGACGAGGATTATTTTCGGGAACGGTACAACGAATCGTCTTCTTTCTCACATAAATTAATGAAACGTCAAAGCTTCGCGCAGGAGGGCGTGCGGGTGGGACTGAATTTAGACAAGAATTAAGAGTCGAGAACGGTACAACGAATTTTTTTCTTTCTCTAATAATTTAATGAAACGTCAAAGCTTCCGCGCTTCGCGCAGGAGGGGCGGGTGGGACTAAATTTAAACAAGAATTAAGAGTCGAGAACGGTACAACGAATCGTCTTCTTTCTCTAATGATTCAATGAATCGTAAAAGCTTCCGCGCTTCGCGCGGAAGGGAGAAACCTGAATTCAGACGAGGATTAAGAGTCGAGAACTGTACAATAAATTGTCTTGTTTCTCTAATTATTTAATGAAATGTAGAAGCTTCCGCGCTTTGCGCGGAAGGGGGAATATGAATCAAAGAATCAAAGAAGAAAAACAAATGTAACAATTTATTAGGTAAAGATAAAGAAGATTTAGAAAATTACATTTGTGAAAAATAGTTCAAGACATAGGCATATAGATTTTAGGAACCAATTTTTTCGTTAAATCCAAGAATCAGGGAGGAGATAAACTACAAAGATTTTTTTAGTAGAATCAAAAGATTATTAGGGTGGTGGAAACAGAGAGACCTTACCATTACCTTAACCCCCCCCCGGTTTTGCCGTTCCAGTCAACGCGACGCGACGAGACACTCCCAACGCACCCTTTCGGCAAAACCGGTGGGGGGGGGGGGCAGGAGCGTAACAAGGGGGGGGGGGGGCTGGCGGCGGTCCCCCCCCCCCCCAAAAAAAAAAAAAACGCCGGCGAAAAAAAAAGAAAAAAGAACGGTACAACGATTCGTCTTCTTCCTAAATTACAAATTTCGTCATTGATGCAACGATTTTTTCTCAAACTCACTACCTCCAAACCTTATGCATCTAATTAGTCTCAACAATGCGGTCGATACCCACTACACATGAAATGCTGATAAATTACATAATTGGAATGCTTCTTCCAATATACTGACCCATTCTCTCCGTTATGTTGGTCCTAAAATGTGAAATTCCCTACCTCCTTTTTTACAGTCTGTCGGCTTTAATAATTCAT